AAAATTATTTAAAAATAATGATAAAAAATTATTTAATTTTATAATTATAGATAATATGTATGAAAATAGTAAAGAATTAATAAAATTATTTTAATTTTAAAATATATTTTATTTTAAATAATAAATATAATATGTTGAGTATTATAAATTTTATATAAATGAAGATATTTACAAAAATATTTAAAAATTTATATAAAGTAATAAGAAAAATTTTATATATAATATATAAAAATTTACATAAAATTTTAGAAGAAAGTTAAGTAACAATTTTTATTTTTTAAATTTAAAAAAAAATAAAAAAATAATTATTAAAAAAATTATAATTCAATTCACTTTTTAAATAGAATCATTTCATTGAAATTGATTACTTTTCTTAAAAAAAAACAATTTTTTATTACTTTAATCAATCGTTTTCAAATGAGATACTCTCATTATTTATAATTAATTAACTTTGATAAAATTCTAATATATCACAAATATTATTTAAAAAAAAATACATACTAAATTTTTTATTATTTTAATATAATATAATACTAATGAATTTATACATAAAAATATCAAAGTACAATATATAGATCATCAAACACTATAAAAAATATATTTACATAAATTATAACATAGTATAATTATAAAAAATTATAATAGTTCTCATACCTAAATCAAGAATTTTTTTAGAAATTTAAATATATAATTAACATTTTAATAAACTTGAAAATCATACACGTTAACATCAACATGCATGTAATATAAAAAATATATTAAAATACCATAAAAAATGATGCTTAAGAAAATGCTACTATTGTCACACTAAGTTAACTTGAAATTTTGCTACTTTTATCACTTTGAACGAGGAAAGCATTCGTCGACATCCTGTTTATTCAAGAAACGTATCTTTTTTTTTTATTTTTTTATTTCCTTGTGCGTTGATTGCATCAGGTTATGTCATGCTTGTACAACTTAAGGGTTTTGAATATTTTATATATGTTATACTACTTTAATTGTATTAAAATTCATATAACTCATTAAATTTATATTTAGTTTGAAAACTGTTTTTAAATTAAAATATATATTTCTTAAGCAATGCCTTTAAGCATTTTCCTTTGTTTAAAGTTTTAAAATAATATCAAAATAAAATAACTAAAAAATAAATTTTAGCACAGATGATATATTATAATAATAAATTAATATAAAATATTAAGCAATCAATACAAATTAAATTTTAAATAAATATAAAATGATCATAAAGTATCATATATATTTTTTAATTTTTATCTGTTTAAACAACATTTTTTTATTTCAATATTTTTTATTTATTTTTCACTTTCATGTTTCTTTCATCCTTATTTCATATATCATCAAAACGAATCATACATAATAAATCATAGAAGTGATTTCTACCTAGCCGTTGAAATAGACAAACAAAATCTTGTACAAGGACCAAACACAGATTTACTTTTGAACAAGTATTTTAACAACAACCTTTAAAATTATTTTTAAATGTTCAAAATCATAAAATTTGTTAAAATATAATTATTACATTAAAAATAATAAATTTTTAATATTTTTAATTATTTAATAATTAAAATGAACATTAAAAAACAATATTAATATTTATCATTTTTAAAATGGTAGCCTTTGTAGTGCTCGCATTTAATTTTACAGCAAATATGATTCGTCTGCTAATTATTACTGTGTATCAAGATTACCAAATGAAGAAAGGGTAGTCTAACGACCACCAACCTTTTAAGCTAATTATTACTGTATATCATAAATAAAAATCAAGTTGTAGTAAAAATATCAACTACGCAGATCTCTAAAAAAATGTTAATACCACATAATTACTAAATCAGCATTAGTTCTTAAAACTACAATAGTCTAACTAATTAGCGTTTTAAAAATATTAGTTAGTAAGTTAATAAATAAAATTAATAATGATAATGTATTATAATATTTTTAATAATTTTTTTATTAATTAGTATACTAAAATACTAGTTTGTATTTGTCACATTATAATTACTTATATTTTAGTTATAAAAGTATGAAACAAAATTTAATTCTTAAAATTGACAACTTTCATTTCAGTTCCAGATATTAAATATGTATCAAATTGATTTTAATTTTAACAATTATTAGTTTACTGTTGAAAAAAAAAACTAATAATCTTTTTGGTGCTAATTTTAATGTGGTCAATTAATTTAGGCGATCTGTAATAGTCAATCTACAGAACTATTAGTTAATTTGTTTCTGACTTTAATTAAATAAATATTTTTTAATTTAGTGCACATTTCAGTCTCAAATTGACTGATGATATTAATTTTAGGACATAATTGAATGGTTTTAAAACAATAGAGATCAAATTAACTAATGGTATTAAGTTTAGGACATAATTGACTAATATTATTAAACTGAGGGAGTAACTTATCTTTTTGTAATATTAGGCATTAAACTAGCTGGAGTTTGGTTATTAATAATTTAACGTAACGATGAAGCAAATGTAGATGTTGATCTTGAGCAGTAGTTCCCGGGAAGTAAATCGAGAATAAAGACGAGAAGGTGTAAAATGTTAGCCATTAGTGACATCTAAAGTTGTTTGTGGAGTTTATTTGATCTTTTTTAAGATAAACTTTTTTTCCTATACTATATTTTGCATAATTTCAATTAAAAATATGAAAAAAAAGTCCTCTTTATCAATCTCTATATTATACGGTTGATGTTTAGAAAACAAATGAACTGGCAAATATATAAATTGAACTAAAAACAATTAGATATATTTTTTGGGTATGTAGACCCACGTACACACATGCTTGAGCTGATATGTATATGTAAACAAATCGATGATGACTATTAAGCTGTATATTAATATTTTTGGCATTCATTGAACAAGAGTTGTTATGTCTGAACTGATCATTATATGCTCTAAAACTTTGTTTTCCGTTTCCATCTCGTAATCTAGTACCATCATATGAAAAGGTTCTTTATTATTATAGTAATAAATTTCACGTGAAGTTCTTTTTCTCGAGATAAAGGACAACTTCTTCTGGAATAAAAAAAATGCACAAAATTAAGTTTGATTAAAACAATTTAAAATCACTGAATAATATTAAAAAATGTACATAAATTAATCTGAACTACATATTTTTACTGCCACACATATTTTGTATTAAAAATATAAAAAATAATTGTTAAACTGAAAAATAAACAGCCATAATTAAGTATTCTCTCTTGGTCAAGTCAAAAACATTTTTTTGTAAGCCATGCATCCAAAAACTCTCTTAAACTAGTGGAATTATGTAGGATCTCACTCGGAGGAATTTGAAATATATAAAATGTGAATGCACGTAAATTTTCTTCATGATCAATCCACTACTTTTTAGCGTTTTTGTTCACTTTTTATCATGGTTGCAGTGTGCTTAATTAATTTATTTTTTATCTGATTTTGTTAACTTGTATGTCCGAATTAATTGTGTTGAATCTTATTCATTAATTCTAACGCTACCAAGAGTTGAAAATAAGAACTTGCACTATCACTCACTTTATGAGCATACATGAGGTTATAATTAGGCATGTGGGAAATTTAAATAGTTGTAATAAATGATATATAGATGCAAAAACTGCCGCCAACAAGGAAAAAGAGAGTGCATATATACAAGCGGATATCAATTAATTTGATTTTAAAAAAGTAGGATTGATGCTGCATTCATAGTGCCAAAAACGTAGGATTATAGGTTCAAAACCTGGGATAAGATGTTTGTGAAGGCTTGGCACATGGGGAAGAATTTTTAGGTGCCCTTTCGTAGGGTTGGTGCATGTTAAATTGCCCTACAACAACTCACCCCAGCATACTTGAATTAATCTTCAAATTTAAATGTTTTTCCTATTTTCAAATTTTGGGTTTTATAATACTGTCAAACTTTAGTCCCTTTCAGGTTAATATAGTTTATCTTTAAATGTCAAACATATGTCATTTCAAATGGAAAGAATTAGAATCCCTTGCGCATGTGATATTAAGTTTGATTCTTAGATTCATGTATATAAAAATAAATATTTATAGAAGCTAAAGAGTTTTGCTTTAATGTTTAATCATATTTTATATAATTAGTTTCGTACCTAATGGGAGAGGAAAGATATTCTAAGAAATAAAAAAATCTTGAAATTTCACAAATTTTCATTTTTCTTTTTTATTTCTCTCTCGTACCTCTCTATGTTCTTTTTTTTTTTGTTTGTTTGTATTTTTCCTGAAAAAGGTTTGCATATGGAGACTTACGTACGTGAGGTGATATTGTGTCCGTGCAACACAGAAGATGTTGATTGCAATTCACTATCATAGTATCATTAATTCATTGTGTGAAATTATTTTGCACTGTTTCTCATCTGGCCCTCAATTATAAACTATTTTCAAAGGGGGAGAAAATGGCCAAAGATTGTTAAGAAATGCAATTCTCTAATCTAATTGGTCCCTCGTTCATGGCTGCTACTTGAAAACTTGGGTGACAAATACAAGATACCCAATTAAGGGACGCATACCACTTTGCAGCCCATAGCAATTACCCCAATAATTACTTTAACAAAACTCTCAAGTGCTTAATAGTCTGACATTGATGTTTCTTGTTTGTTTGTTTCTTTTCTAAAGTCAATTGCCAGTTTTCCAATAGAACTAACACGTGTGCAAGCTATTGACAAAGAGTTCTCTCTCTCTCTAAATGCTCGTTAATATATGAAACCTAATCTTTTGTTTTTATTTTCTCTTTCCCCCGTGTTTCTTGAAATTAAATATTTCTTTAAAACAAATCTATACCTACATAATCAACAAACTATAATTTTCTAATAGTAAATTCTATATCTTTTTCTTATAAAAAGCATTGACCTACTTTTCCTAATTACCACCTTGTTGCCTTTTAAGCACTTGTTTCCCTGCTTTTTCTCACCTTGTTTGTGTCTGTGTATGAAACAAAGTCTTTTGCCCTCTCAACCCACCACTTAGATCAAGACAATCAACAGGCATGTTTGGATATCCAGAGACAGGTAAATATAAGCAAATAAACATTAACTGTGTTGCTCTCTTTTCTTTTTCACCATAAAGCAAACAACTTATTCATGAACTAAAATTAAAATCATAGATTTCCAGTATGATCTTTGTTTCTGTTGATGATGCTCTGAAGCACTCAAAATATGCACTATTATTTGTCTAAAGTCTGAGGGTTTTAACATGCGGTTTTGTGTTTTTGCCAAAGAAAGATTAGATGAGATAGCGAGGGTCAGAACAGAAGGAGAAGCATCTCCTCAAATGGGAAGGAAGCATTTTTATGGTCCAACATCTGGGACAGCCTTAAACACAGTAACCCCTTGTGCTGCATGCAAGCTTTTGAGAAGAAGGTGTGCTGAAGAATGCCCTTTTTCTCCTTATTTTTCACCACATGAGCCTCAAAAGTTTGCAGCCGTTCACAAAGTGTTTGGTGCAAGCAATGTCTCAAAGATGTTAATGGTTAGTAGTTAGTTTTTATTTCTTCAATTGGACACACTAGTACTATTGAAGTAACAATTGATTTGTTTTCAAATTTATGTATATATAGGAGGTGCCAGAGGGCCAAAGAGCTGATGCAGCAAATAGCTTGGTTTATGAAGCTAATTTGAGGCTGAGAGATCCAGTGTATGGATGCATGGGTGCAATATCAGCTTTGCAGCAACAAGTTCAATCTCTGCAAGCAGAATTAAATGCAATAAGAGCTGAGATAATAAAATACAAATATAGAGAAGCTGCAAGTCTTATTTCTTCTCATCATGCAGCTTTGGTTTCTACAGCTGAAGCAGTATCAGCAGCAATTTCTACAGACTCACAAGGTCTTTCTCAACCTCTTCCTCCTCCATCCCCAGTTCCTCCTCCTCCTCCTCCACCAAAACCATTACCTTCTCCTTCTGTTATTCTCTCATCCTTGTCTTCATCTTCAACTTCTTCTGTGTACACTCCACCTAAAAGCACAATGAGCCATGGATCCATTTCCAGTACTGAAAATGTCCCATACTTTGTTTAGGTTCCATTTGTTTCCTATTCATTTGATGTAGGAATAATTACTCATGTTTTTCCTCAACATAGTAGAATGTATCACTTGACCCTATCTGGTCATCTAGAGCTTATAGAAAAGGAAAGGGAAATTCCATTACATTCATATGCTTTTTAGTGGTATTTTCTACCCCTTTTCATATATGCTTTTGCTTAAACATTATTATTATGATGATTTAAATTTTACACAATTTCTATTTATGCTTGATTTGTCTTCATTTGTAAGAACAATGCACTCTGAATGTGGGAACAACTAGCTTAGATATATAATACACTACTTCCTGCTTGTTAGTTTCACATGATAACTAGATTGCATTGAAAGTTTCATGGTGTGTATAATTATGTTCCCTTTGAAAAAGTACTAGTTTTAGAAGGAGATATGATTCAGACTGATGTAAAGATGAAAACATAGAATGTAGAAAAGTGAAGCAATTAAGTCAACATGAAAGTCTAGATATTGGCAAAAGAGGAAAGAATCATAAAGAATACTATGAGAAACGCATGCTTTGAGAACTACGATTTTATTATAGAATTGGCGCTGAAGATCACATGAATAGAAGAAGTGTAGTCTTGAACAATTGGGCATTGCACGTGGGGGGAATATCTCCATTTGACTCAAGCTTAAATAACTCACTCATGAGTCTGTGCCAGCTGAAGATTTATAAGTAAAGATCTTAAAAGGGAGACAAGGTACGGTGGCCGTGTTATAGTTCCTGTTCCCATGTGAAGTTCAACGTCATATGTATTTAGATCTAAGTGTATTTATTTGAACTCCTTTCTCCTATTAATTATATTCTCAAATCTCACTCTTAATTTATATGAAAGATGAGAATCATAGTCACTCCCCTCCTATATAATTAAAAAAATGAAAAAATAAAATAAGGTTTCTTTTTGTCCTTTGTTGAATTAAATGCTTGTGGAATTTAGGTAGACTGACATGAACAAGAAAATTGTAAGCACTGAATGCCTTGATCAGCTAGTAATAATCAGCAATCTTGAGTTCTTTAGTTAATGAAAATGCAGTTGTGTTAAAATATAGGAAGAAGATTTATTGCCCGTAGAAACTTTATTTGGCTTCCCTTAGATTAGTCGAATATATAATGTGGTGTTTGAATATTAATGGTCTTAGAAGAAAGAAAAATAAGAGGGAAATTGTGATGAACAAAATCCTATGCATATACTTAACTTTCCTATCAAAATTTATGAAATTTAGGCAGAGTAGTGGTAATGGAATCTTATGTTATTACCAAAAAAATTAGGTAAACAATAGAAGAACGAAAGAGCGATTACGACGGTAGTACTAGTTGCTAGCACGTATTGCAATCTAGAATAAAATAGTTCAATAACGAGCTTCATTTAGTTGCCAAAAGAGACTAGCAGCTCTTGGATCCTACCTAAGTTACATCCTTGACATTAACTACTCAACGGTGCTATAAAATTGTATTACTCACAAAGTTCTCTTTGATACAAATATATAGTCTTATTAGGTACTAAAGCCTTGAAAACGGTAGAATCTGGAAGTGTAACCAAGCTCAGGAGAACCTCTTCTATCGTTGAACATCAAAGAATAAAAGAAAAAGAATGGCGGAATATCGTTTTCTTGCATTGTAATTAAAGTTGTTCTATGTAAGTAAAGGTATGCAATCTAAGTCAATCTTTTCACCAACAAAATCTCATAACCTATGAAGCATTCGATTCCTTTGACGTGTGAAACTCAACCTGAGCTAGTGTGAAGGAATAGGCCTACAAATTAAATATATATAAATGATATAATTAATGCATACATGTAGAATCCTCCATTTGTATTATTTATTCGCTCTTCCATCTTTGTTTTCATTTTGTGTAGTAATTTAGACGAAAGATGCGTATAGATTATGACACAGATCGAACTTGGTTTTGTCACCGTTGCTTGAAATATTCGCATCTTTGGCTCAACATGGCCATTACTAATTATTTAATTTATTATGACAAAAGCTCACTTAATATTCAAAACTTCATCTTTCCAACAAAGCATCGTCTTTCATGTCAAACACCCATCAATAAGGCATGAGGGAGTTTTTCTTTTCTTTATTTAGTTTTTTTTTCAGTAGGAAAAGCAAGAGATAGTTTTATAACACGCAATTCAAGCTAGTTGGGCGACTTGGTAGAAATCATGTCATATTTTAACTAATAATATTGATAAATAATATATATGAAACTGATATCGCATTTATGTGGGGTTGACAATTTCTAATATGATATTAAATGTCAGAAAAGATAAATTATGTGTTTGCAAGGATTCCCAGATACATGTTCATAAATGATAGGTCTTTGGATCTATATATTATTAAAATATAGAATCGATCAGTTTTGTCAAAGATACATATCTAATAAAGCATTCACATGATATATCTATGTATGCCTAATTAACTATTAGTCGAGCTGTGTCACAGTGGTTAATCAACGTTCTTCACAGTGACAGGGACAGCTCAAAACTTGCATTGTATTAATGAGTCCTCACATGCATGAAATCATCAACTTCAACTAGTATAAATTGGACCGATTACTTCCTCCGTTTGGTTCAGCAATGCTACAATTTGGGTAGATTAGATTTAAAATAATTCCTTATCCATATAGTTCAATTCTTAATTGAATATATGAAAAAGCATTTATTGGTCGAAATAGGTAAATTTAATTAAGTTGTCTTATGTATCGAAAGGAAATAATTTCTAATAATTATTAGATGAAAGATATCTTAAGTGAATAAGAAAAGGATGAAAAATAATTTCTAATAATGATATCGTGTGTGTATATGTATTAATAAACCAAAAAATAAAAGCTTGAACCTATTTTTAAAGAAAGTAAGAAAAGAAAGGTTAAAAAAAAAAACATAATGACCAACACACAAAGCTTAATTTTGTTGAATTTGGTTTTAAACTGGCTAACAAGACACGTACCAAGTTAAGGATTTTCAGTCTGTCATATCTTTAGTTTTAGATGTATAGGAATTTCCTTTGTTTCTATTAATACTTTTAATATTAGACATTTGAAATATTAAATTTTAAAATGAAAAATTAGGAAAGGAAAAAGGCCCTTTATGCTCACTTGATTTCTCTTAATGAGCCAAGTTGACAAAATATCGATCCGTTTAAACATTATCTTCTTTAACCAATCAGTTTAACCTCATTGTTCATATTAAAGTAGGATTATTAAAATTTTATTAATTATTTTGGATTTTTGTCACTTAAAGAAAGTGATGCCACGTCACCAATAGCTAGAGCTGGATATAACCCGTCAGGTGGCCTGTATACCTAATTATCATACAGGTTATTATTTTTTTATTATTGGAAGTTATGAATTTTATTTTATGTATAACCTTTCTCTAATGTTATTTTTTTTATCAATTCATTCCCATAAAATATTTATTGATAGACAATACAGAAGAATAAAATTAAAAATATAATTTTTCATGAAAATAAAATATAGTTTACCCATAAAAATATAAATAATTTAAATCCAAATTATTTTTATTTAATTTTTATAACTTGCAAGTTAATAAGATTTATTATGTATGAGTTAACGAGTCAGTTCACAAACTGACATTTTCTTCTTTTCATAAAGGTATTGATATTTGGATGATATAAAGAGTTATATTTTTATATTTTTCTTTTGAACTAATTAATATTAATTTTTTTCGTTGATTTTAATAGTTGATATTATGAGTACTGAAAATTTGCTAACCACTTAACATGTACCATCAATAAAATTGATTTTTTTTTTCTTGAATGCTTGTCACATGGCATGACACTACTGCAATATGTGATATTTATCCACATGACTTCACTCTTTTTATAGAGCTACATCGCATCATTGCCACATGCATTGTAGCACTAAGTTGAGTGGCGTCACATTGTCTAACAAAAAAATTCCAATATTTTCTATTTTTTTCTTCTTATTTTTAATTTAAGTTTTTCAATGTTTTTGAATTATTGCATTTTACAAATAATGCCAGACAAAGTGAAGCATAGAAATAGGTGTCACTCAAGCTATTACCTATATCACCTGGCAATCTTGGAAATTTTTTTTTTTAAGAACTGTATTTTTTTTCTTTTAGATTAAATTAATAGTTTTGATATTTGTAATTTTTTAAGTTAATTAAATATTTGTTTTTAAAATTAAGTAAATTTAGTGATTTCATTAATTTAATTCTACTTAAAGTTCTCATATTTTTATTTTTAATCTAAATTTTTTTAAAATAATTTGTGAAAAGAGAGATTTAGATTTACAGAATTTTTTTATATCTTTTAGTTGAAATTTGATAATTTAATGTGTGAATTTTGAGTAAATAAATGTTTAAAATGACTTTGTAAAATTTTAAGTAAAAAATGAAAATTTAAGGATTTCAAATAAAAAATTAATTAACAAATAATTCTACTTAATTTTGAACCTAAAAATATTTAATTAACTGAGAAACTAATATTGTACATAGTTTAAACTGAAATTAAAAAAGTTTAATCAAACTTATTTTTAATTAGATAAAATAAAACAACATTATCAAGTGTACCCACTCAACATGTTGCTGCGAAGTGACTACAACCAAAAACGAGTATGAAATCACGTGAATAGATGTCACTTAACGTAATGCTGTCACATGACAAATAAAATACAAAAGAAGAAAATAAAGATGAGAGTTATCAGATGAAAAATTTTAAATTTTATTATTTATGTGAGAGAAAAAAAAATAGAGAGGAGAGATTTTTTTGTGGGACTCAAGACTTCTCCCCTATACTGTCTCTCTCTCTCTCTCTCTTTATAAAATTCAAAGAACTTTTTATAACATAAAATAATAGTAAAGAAAAAAAACTTAATTTGTTGAGTTAAATTTAATTTTTTAATTAATGTATACTTTTTATATAATTTTTTAAACTCTTTCATTTAAATAGCTGAAATGAAAAGAAATTTCTTTATTTTTCTTATTTATATTTTTTAAAATTTGATAAGTCTCTAACAACCACACATATATTCTAAGTTCTTGACATGATGTTGAGAGGAATATTAAGAACTTATTAATATATTATCTCTCAAAGAGTAACAATTTATAAGTTATGCAGATAAAATTATGTACTTTGTGGTTGGACACTGATTCTTCACTTTTTTTTTTTCAATAAACAAAATTTCTAAATTAGATTAAGAAAGATTACGTAGATATGTTATTGTTGGCCCTCTGGGGTCTCTTCCTTCTACCCCTCATAATTTCACTTCATTCCCTTTTTTCTTTCCTATCATTTTCTGCATGCTCCCTTCGATTAATTCTTATATTAATTGTTTGGTAATTGTATCACAATTTTCTTCTCCCACTTCCATCATTTATATTTCAAAATATAATGTAGCACCACAATAATACAACTAGAAAACATGGGAATTGAACTCAATAAGTCATTGATGTGCAGTTTATTGGTATGAGAATGAGATTTCTCACTTTTCTTTTAAGCCAAACTAGTTTTTGCTCAAATGTGTGACAGAGTTACCCTACTAAATTTCTATGCTACAAGCAAAATTCAATCCCATGAAATTAAGTTACTAACTATAACTTATAAGACGCAGCTGATAAATACATTGGATCGAATTATATTTTTTTAGGCCTGTGTTGAAACCTCTCTTTAAAACTGAAAAATAAATTAATAACTAATAGGTCTTAAAAATATTAGCAGATTTTTTTTTAGATTCTTATGGCTTGTTTGATTGTGTTTCATTTTATAGTATTTGATAAATTAATTTTAAAACCTACTTTTGAGAAACCTAAAATTTAAAACCTATTTGATAAATTATTTTTACCTTATAAAAAATATATATTTATTTTTTATATTAATTTATTTTCTTATTAAACTTATCTAGAAATTTACTCAAACTGTATCTAGTTTAAGTTTATTTTGATTTATGCTAATACATGCTTTAGTTGAATTCTTTAGATTCATGAACAAGTAATTACAAGTTAATAATCAAGACTAGCTCAAGAACGAGCTTCAGTAGAACATTCTCCAAATTTTGGATAAAGTTTTCACGATACAAAATTTCTTTTCCTAAAAGATTACTTCGTATAATAATGCATCCCTCTCTAAAATTTTAATGATTTCTTAGACACTTTTTTTTGGGTATAGAACCTCCAAAAAAGGTATCGTGGATCCAGCCCAAGCCCTGCTAGTACAAGCAAAAACCATTTATGCTACAAAGTCCTACTGGCAAAGAAAAAGAGTAACAACGTCCTGGCCCTGCTGTTGTAAGCAAATAATGCAATTTGAGCCAATTGAACAAATAAGACTTTAATTGATGTGTGTGTGCACATCTTTATACGTTAAAAAATTTCTTCTTTCCTTCAGAAACTTAATGAAATTTCATTATCTACTTATCCAATTTGCAGTAAATTAGTAAGGACATAAATCCAAGATAAGAGAAAATGAAAATAAACAGAGTCTTAACATTCACAGCAATACACAATACATTAGCCAAACCAATCATTTCTGAACATGAATGCTATAAATGAAATGTAACATAATAGTTGTGTGCTATTCAGCATGTCAATGATCTCATAATACCATTGCCAATCTAGTTCTTTTACAAGGTGGAAGCCCACTAATCAATCAGAATCAAACAACTCTATTCAGTATTTCAATGTCATGCAACAGAGAAAGTAACAACTTCTAAGCATCCATCCAGCAGAATGATGATGTCAGTTTTAGGTAGGTCACAAGTGAAAAGATTAGTATTTGCTATATTGACCAGTCTAATGATTCACCATCCATAAGAAGGGTTTTCATTGGAAAGATGAAGGTCAAATTGGGTGGTAGTGCAACTTGCTGCATCTGGTTCTTGATATAAGTTAAAAGCTAAATTGAGAGACAAATTAAAAGCCCTAGAAATCTAATTAGTTCAACAAGGCTTTTACTCCATTTCAGATCCAGAATACTAATTATGTAGCATAAGCATATAATTATGTAGCAAAACATCATAGATCAAAGATCAAGACTTCCAGCAAAGAGACCACTGCCCCAACCAACCACTGACAAGATCATTAATTTATGCTCAATGTAATTAGCTTTTGTTAAACAATGGTTAACAAATGTATTTACTTCAATATTCTCTAATCTAGAAACTTTGAACATACAAATTTCCAGGTGCAAAGTTAGATACTCCATTAATGAGTACGCGGCTGCAATGTTAAATCAAATAATGAATACAAGAGGTGTTATTAGAATGCAAGGATATAATCATGGAAGTTTAAAGACAAAATGGTTGCATTCCATAGGTAACTACTAAGCTTCCATGTAGCAGGAAATTCAAAAGATTTCTTAAGAATACAACAAAAATACAGAGCAAATAGACACTCTTCAAAGAATATTCAGCTATCTAATAAATCCTGTCAAGCTATTCTCACCAGCACTTTATTCTTTTTGCCTGCAGATAGCAGGAGAACCTTCCCATCCACTATATCCGCTGCCTCAATCCTCTTACTTTCACTATCCACTCTGTTATTATTCAAGTAAAGACCTCCTTGCTTTAACAAACGCCGCGCAGCAGATTTGCTCTCAAACAATCCAGAAGAAACTGAAAGATCCACCAATGACAGATTCAAAACCTCATTGTAAGCCAAAGAACAAGATGGAACGTCCTCAGCAATCCCTTCAATAGTTTTCCAGTCCAATTTTGTCTCAGACCCCGGCCTCAATGCTTCAGTCGCCTTAAGAGCTTCAGCTAAACCATCTTCTCCATGAACAAACTTTGTAACTTCCTCAGCAAGCCTCCTTTGAGCTGTATTAGGCACATAACCAGGTTTCATCATCTCACCCTCCAAGGCAATTATCTCCTCAATGTCCAAAAAGGTAAGAATCTTGAGAAACCTAATCACATCAGCATCAGGAACAGTGAAAAAATACTGGTAAAACTTGTAAGGAGACAAAACGGAAGGTGACAACCAAATTGCCCCATCCTCAGATTTTCCAAACTTTGTGCCATCACTTTTCAAAAGAAGAGGAAATGTCAAACCATGGGCACCTTCCACTTGCAATATCTTTCTAATCAACTCAGTGCCAGCAGTTATGTTACCCCATTGATCACTACCCCCAATCTGAACACTAACACCCTCATTCTGAAACAAGTGCAAGAAATCATAACCTTGCAACAACTGGTAAGTGAACTCAGTGTAACTCATCCCTTGTTCAGACTCCAACCTCTTCCTCACACTCTCCTTAGCTACCATGGACCCCACCCTAGCATACCTACCCACCCTTTTCAAAAAATCCAACAAAGTAAACTCCTTCCACCAATCATAGTTATTCAAAATCACAACATTGCAATTCAACTCACCCAAGTTGGGATTTTGAGCGCGACCCAGAATCGTTGCGATAGTTTTGCAGATACCCAATGTGTTCTTCTCCAAGGAATCGGCGTCAAGTTCGGGCCTTTCAAGGGATTTCCCAGACGGGTCGCCAACACGGGCGGTGGCGCCGCCGATCAAGGCGATGGTGCGGTGGCCGCAGCGGCGGAACCAAGAGAGGACAATGAGGCCGAGGAGGTTGCCGAGGTGAAGGGACTCCGCGGTGGGGTCAAAGCCGCAATAGACTTTGAGGGGTGAGGAAGAAGAAGCGGTTCTGAGAGCGTCGCTTGTTATGGATTCCACAAGACCTCGTTCTTCGAGGACTTCGATGATGTTGCGGCGAGGTGACAGAGGTTGTCGGAGAGTGCATGTGGTTCTTGTGAATTGGAGAGGAATGGAAGAGAAAGGTTTGAAGGGAGAGAGGAAGAGTTTGGTTGAATGGGAGAAGAGGAGAGTCCTCGGTGCATAAATGGATGCCATTGGCATTGTGCTCTGTGTGCTGCTATTACCCTTCAAATTTGGGATATGAGGGGTATGTCTCATTGGCCATTTCACATATAATTTTAAAAATTGTTAGATAACATTATTGATTTTCATTAAATACTTTTTTTAAGCTGGGATTTAAATACTTTTTTATTCTTCTACAAAATTCATTTTTTAATTAGTATAATAGCAATCTCAACGTGTGTGAGATATTTTTAAAATTTTTAATATTTAGCAGTGGTTGAATTACTTTAACATTTTTGTCACCAAAAATATATGATATTTTTTTAATAAACCAACAAAAATTTTATTAAAATCTAATTCATCATTTATGCATAAACATTTAAATTTATTTAACTATTCATGTCTATCTATTTGATAAGATAGATAATAATAAAACTATATATATTTATTACAAGTTATATATGTTTTTATGAACATAAATTTAATTTTTGTGTGTGCAATTTACTTTAACAATTTGAAATGCATTTTTAAGGTTATGTTTTGTGCATGAAATTTTAATTTCAATTCGAATTTTATTAAAGTTAAACTTGATTTAAAATATTATAAAAAATTATAATTTGAAGTTAAACATTATTTACCTCCCTCTTTTTACTTTTTCTTTTTTTGTCTCTATGTATTATATGCGTGTTCTATTTTTTTAGTGGATATTTTAAGAATTATATGAGAGTAATTTTAAAAAAAAAATTTCTTATTATGACATATAACTTCTTTGGTATTCAATTTTTATTTGTAATTTTAATTTTAATTTAGAATCTCGAATAATTTACTTATTAATTTAGAAAAATTATTTCTCTTTCGTTTAGTTATATTTAATATAAAAAATTATAAATTGTTATATGTATTATACAAGTATCATTAAATTAAAATCATTTATTTTAATAAATAATTTGAAATATATTATCCGTCCATCTTAAAATTTTAAAAATATTATAATTATGAATAATAAAATATTCTATTATGTTAAATAAAATTAAAATATATTATGAACAGTTCAAAAATTAAATTTATACTGACTTAAAGATATAAGTATACAATATAAAAAAATTACTTTATAAGAAAAATTAATTCTTAAGAGTTATTTTTTGAAAATATGAAGAATAATCATTTAAAAAATGTTATATGAATATTTTTAATAAAATAATATTGTTATATGAAAATATTTTAATAAAATAATATTTTTATCTAATAAATATAATTTAAAAATAAATTACTAAAATGATATTTCTACCAAACTATTTTTATGTTTAGATTTTTTTTCGTCAAAGGTTAAAATGAGGTGTGCCACGTGTCAACAATGTACTCTCTTTATTTACACACGTGTTAGAATTATAGTTATTTAAATTCATATCACCTGTTGTAAATATAAAATAGCATCAAATGATGATACAGGTCAATTTTTTACAAGTTTTGCCCATGTAAGAGACAAATTTTTTCTCTTTAAAATTAAGTATGATGCAATACTTTGCGTTGACATAACAAAAAAAAATAATTCTCGAAATAAGAAATTTGGAAAAGTGTTATTTTGGAAATTTATTTTTAAAATTATATTTTTAAATCAAAAAGCCAAAATAATTTTTAATAAAAAATATTTAACTTATTTTATAAAATATAATTTTAGATTTTTATAAATTATTTATGTTTTAATTACATTTATATAAAAACAATTAATTGTAAAAATTTGAAGAAAATTATTATAAATTAACATAAAAAATTTAATATCATATTAACATAAAATTATTTTTTAATTTGTAATATGTATTTTTTATTGAAAATTCAAGAAGTTAAATAATTTTTTAAAATGTATACTTTGATAAAAAAAAATTTATCATTTAAATATAATTTATATCTTGTTTTATTATTATTTTTGTTTATCTCAAATATTAAATGAGATAGCATAATGTTGTTTATTTTACTATTATAGTATACATTAAATATATAATAAAAAATTATATGATCTTTATTATATTTTATCCTTTTCTAACCCTCATTTAATTATTACCTATCTTACCATATTTATTAAACAATTCTTAAAATGTTCTTATTTAATAACACCTTTAAAAATACTTTATTCAATAATGAGTACTTTTAAATTATATATAAAATTTTATTTTATTTATATATGAAAAAAGGTTTATAAATAAATTTTTAAATAAAAATAGTTTAAAAATAGTTTCTAGTTTATTTTGTAATATAATGCTACTACTTTATAGTAAATTTTTTTATTTTAATTTTTACACATGAAGTAATTTTAGTTAAATTATATACGTTATTCTTATAGTTGGTACATCTATTAATTTGATATTTACACGAGTAAACATTTTTTAAATTATTTTTGTTATTTACAAAAGTGTTGATTGTGTTAAAGGAAAAGATTAAAATGTTAAAAAAAGTACTTATATAAAAAATAAAATAAAATATTTTAATTATAAATATTAATTGATAAATAAATATCAATTATAGATACAAAATATAAATTTTAACTAAAAAAATTAGTAAACTTATTTTAAATAAAAGGCAAAGTACTAAATGAAAAATCACAAAATTTTATGATACTAAAAACTTGTATTTAGGATCGTCTCATATCTAAAAAAAATAAAAATTTATTTCTAATAAAAATGTCTTTTTCAAAGTTCTATAAAAATTAATATACAATAAAATTTATAATAAAGATATTATATCAATATTTTATTTATTCTTTTGAAAGTATGATAAAAAAATATAAATATAAATAAAAAAGTGTTAATTTTATTCATAAAATTGAGTTTAAATAACAAATAATATGAATAGTTTTTCTACATTTTGGTCTCTTTAATCTAATGTCATCAATACATTTATAAATAACAAAGATTAATCTAAAAATATTTATACACGTAAAGATTAAATTATAATTATTTATAAAAATTAAATTAAAAATACGTGCCAAAGATTAAATTTATAATTTTTTACTATAATTAATACGAGCCAAAAGAATAAATAAAAGATGAAAGTTATCAAAGAGGAACTCTAGTGAACTTTCACTCCAACTTCATTCCCACTTAAATGATTACACAAGGAAGATGATGATACCTTTGCATACTATTCCATTGTTTACATTTATCAAACCTTTGGTGATTTTCTTATTCTCCATCACAATTTGCTCACTAGTAACTACCCCAATAAATAAATAACGATATTGGAATTCAATTAACTCACATTCCTTCTTTTTATTTTTTATAATAAAAAAAACAAAAAAAAACATTTTACTTAAATCTCAAATTCTACATTTTACTTAATTCTCAAATTCTACTTTCTTATAATAATCTTTATAATCACTATAAATAATAATCACTTTATTCAAATCTAGTCAACAAATTATCATTTATATTTTATTATGATTCACCATAATTATTAAACACTAAATTATTAATTTTTTTAAATTACTTGAAAGAGTAACAAAAGCATTCTTTTTAGAAAAAAAAATATACTCTTTTTTTTTTTGTTAAAGGAAGGGGCTGAAAGCCCAACAAAACATGTATCATTGATAAATGTATAAAATAAGTGATTTGAGATGGTAACTTGAATACTTTTATGTTAAAAGTTGGATTATTTTGTTAAATTCCCTTCAAACTTGAAACTTTTACAAATACATATATATTTTTAGAAATGAATGCAATTTTAGTGTTTTAATCTCTTTCTAATCTATTTTGTAGCTGGAATCATAAGAGAAACATCACTTAAGGTTGAAAAGATTAGAACAAGACAGAGGAAGAGTAATTGAAGCATAAAGTTGCAGAAAAGTCAACTTCTAGAGGTTTCTCGTTGCAGCGAGAAATACTCGCTGCAGTGAGATTGCGTACTAAAAAGATGATGAATCTGTTCTCATGTCGCTACAGCAAGAAGTGGTCGCTGTAGTGAGAGGCTTTTGTGTCGCTCTAGCGAGAGTTAACGCTACAACGAGAAGAAAACATAATGACTTAATTTATATCTCTATTTCTCGCTACAACGAGGCCATGTCGCTGTAGCGAGAGAAGCTCGAGCAGACTAGTATAAAAAGGCAATTTTTATGTTCAAGTGGGGGGTTACTGTTCCAAAACCATTTTCAGAGGTCTAGAACGGCGCAAGGCAAAGAAAGAGAGTAGGAATACTCAATTTTTTTTTATGTTTTCTCCCTTTTGTATCTCCATTTTTTGTTGATATGGTTGCCATGAGCAGCTAAACCTTGTATGAGATTGAATGTAAATCTTCAAACTTGATGTATTCTCAGTAATCTATATAAATATAATTGTTTCTTCTTCATTTCTAATGATTTGGTGATCTCAATCCGTTTTAATGATTGAATCTAGTTATTTAACGATTTCTGGAGTTCAGATCTAAGTTGTATTTTGGAAGATATTATTTAGATCTAGATCTGATTGTGATTACTCAATAACTGGTTGTTCTAGGAATAGATTTCAAGTTATTGATTGCTTTTAAATCCTGACTTTAATGCTGGATAGTTTATTAACTGTTTGAGGAATCAACATTTGAGAAATTAACTTAGGAATATATTTTCAAGGAATTGAAATATATAACTTTCATATTTTGCATCAGATTTATTAGAAATGGTTGCTATATTTATCATTGGATTACCAGTATATAGAAGGGGAGATAGATGAAATTCAATCCCAGCTTTTTTAACTTGAATTTTACCATATTTTACTTTAGTGCTTTACATTTTAATTGTTGTTTAATATTTCATGAAAATCATTCATCAATTCTATTGTATAAAAGCTCAATTAATTTGTATCTTAGTAATTAATACATTTGAATTGCTCTCTGAGGACGATATTCCAGTACTCTACCGGTTATTACTTGCAATAGACTCGGTACACTTGCCGTGTTTGAAGGAAAAGATCCAACAAGTTTTGGCGTCGTTGCCGGGGAGCAATGTGCAAATTGTATTAGTTTTTAAGTATAATTAGTTGAGTACTGTAAGTAGTTTTAATTAATTTTCATTTATCTTATTACTCTTTGTTGCTAATCTTGTTTCAAGTTCCTT